GAGGCGACTAAAGTTTTCGTACTATAAGAAGGACAAGCGGTTGAGGTGACGAGCCTATTTATTAGGAGGCTTATTTCTGTTATTAAGACTTGAAATCAAACGACTTTAATACCAAAGACGAATACGTATATTGTGTAGCTTATAAGCCCCAAACATCCATAATTGGGTAGGTGAGGAGTACTACCTCCTAGCGTGGAACACCCGTAGTTAGACGACTAGACTCAAAATCCATGAATTTTGATAGGAGTAAAAGTGGCTTCCCACGAATTGTGGATGCTTTTTAGAGGACATCTCCTAAAGGAATGCCCGGTCGACCGGTTTGCAGGCCTCTCCAAAGTTATACGAGTCGAGATGCTCACTTGAATAAAATTCGAGTTATAGTATAGCCGGCAGCGGTGGCAGAAAGAATCCATCTGTATGCTACTCTAGGAAATGGCCGTGATCCTTATCATTTCGACGATGACATCCGTTAGGTTGCTGGACTAGTTTATATGTGAGAATGGGGGTAAGATTTTTGTAGGGGATGTTCGGTAAGGATTATTGAGCTTGAGTCTATCCCAGGTGAGTCGAAGAGCCAAGGCAGCGAGTTGTGGTACGTCCGTTCCCGAGCGACCCTTTTACTTGAGGTCTTGGAAAAACAAGTCCTTTAAAAACAACGTGTTGGGTTCAGTCTACTATAGACTACCTGGAATTTATATCTGCATTTTGGGGAGGCTGCAGGTCCCCTATTGTAATACTCCTGGTACAATGGTGGTATACGTAGCTTTCTCCTTGCCAACACATACGTACTCTACCAGTGAACTTTGCACGCATGCGCATCAAAAGATATAGCCCATGTAGTCAACCGAGGGAAACATTAGTACACCCATATATTAACTAGTAGTACAGTTCTACATTCTGTTTCGAAATCTGGGGCTTTACAGCGGAAACTGGCTGTGGAGGTATATCTTTCGTTCAGCGAGTGGCACGTAGCTCATCGGTATACCATCTTCCCCCACCCGAACTACATGTATACCTAATTCTCATGATTTCCTCCCGCGGGAGACAAAGGATACGTTATGTAGCTAGCTTTGTTCTAACACTGAAAGATATTCTAGACTATTGAGCGTCCCGACGCCGGGTGAATATACATGTATGTAATCGGTTACTTGGATTGTTTGATCAACACTGAGTGAATCTTCTTAATGGAATAAAAAATGTGGCTTATAACGTTGCAATTACAATGGGCTTTGTAGAGTTCTTTTGACTAGTATTTCACTGCTTGGCTCTTAAATCTGCTCCTTAATTGGCTACGTTTATAAGTGGACGGCTTGGGTCATGGAGCAGAATGCTCCAATCTACACATACACATGAGCTTTGATTCTGCTTTTTCTTCTACACTGCCCCCACTCAACCCCGCTCCTCATTCCTTCATCCTCAAACGCTTCTTTATTCTTAAGTTTGATTATGATAGTGCTATATATTATCTTCTTACATGGCTTATCAGTACAACCTCAGATGTCAATAAACACTCAAGAGTGTAATATTATAAATAGTTCTCTTTCACTTGTGAGTTATTAAGGTATGGTTGGCCCTGTATAATTCTTCTGGAAAAACCTACTTTGATGGCTACATGTACTTATCATAAAGCCACACACGCACTTGGCATATCTTCCCTCGAGATCCCTCATCACAAATCTACACTAGCCATGAATAACTAGTAGAATTAAACCCAGAAGATAAGAGCAAATTACCCTCCGGAAGAAGTATCCCAGGAGACACAGAAGTCTAATTTACATACGCTCATGAACTAAGCTACAACCGGGTATGATTAATTCGAAATCCTAGGTATTAGTGAGAACGATGACTGGCGCCTAAATAATGAACGTCGTTGAGATGGCCAATGATAAGTAGCCTTGGCAACTGTTTTCTGATTAGAGTCTTTTAGGCCGCCAACTGTAACAAAGTCTTCCAAGTCCCAGGGCCTTCATGTATGACATGTCACTTCCTCACATTTCAGTATCAGAACTAGGAGTACGCATCGGAATATTTTGGGTCCCGAGACTTAGGATTTCACTCTGTGAGTACTTTCTAGCACTAGGCCTACACAACGGTTTTCGTTCCTTGGAACTTTCATTTCTAAGTCTTATCAACTCTACACTATTCTAAAATACACAGTTAAGCACTCTAAATTAGGTAGTTAGCTGATAGGCCCCATACGATGATCATCGACCCCGGATCCTGATTTGACAGCGCCTATCGAATCAGGGTTGCAATCCAAGCGCGCTCCAGCTGCATCCTCGTAATGAATTAGCGGGGTAATGACTGTGCCACGCCTAGATTTTTTCAATATAAGGCTGAAGAGAGGCCTTGGGTATCTCCTGGCGTACATATCTCTCGCATGAAGTTATGGACGCAACAGGCTTCGCCATTGCAGCTCTTCGTGAGATTTGCAACATCGCCGTGTTCATAAAAACCATATATACGGACAGTAAAAACTATGATTCGGACAAAGACGAAATATCTTTCAAACTATCCCACGAGTTGGAGGTCCTGCGTCTTTTCGACCGATGCTTCTTCGACCCGGCCACCGGGGTTGTGGTGGACGGACGTATGGCCGGTCACCTGGATTTCGGGAAGGAGCATATCACAGAGATAATCGTACATTTGCGAAACACGCTTGAGATATATCGGAATGTGGGGAAAGAACATTTCGATGTCGACGTCATCCAGGACGACAATTCAACACTGGGGAAACGTGAGGCGTTCAAGAAGAGGCTGGCGGATTTGAAGAAGAAATCATGGAGTTGGGCTTTGTTCGATAAGGGGAGACTGCTTGAGGTCGTAGCCAGCTTTAAGGAGAGCACAGACAGACTGAAAGAGATATACTTTCTCATCATGCTCGATTCGAGCCGTGGGCGCGGGACCGATAACCAGAATCTCCAGCAAATTCGGTCCGTTGACCCTGGCCTTGCGTCTGGTCTCATGCGTCAAGAAATAGCGTGGAAAGTAGAATCGAAGCAAGAGATCAACGTCATAGAACCACTGAAGGGTGATATCAAGCCGGTATCTGGTAAGCTCATCGGCGACTGGGCAGCACAAAGAGTTTGGAAGTATTGTGAGGGCAGTAAAGAGAGTTTTGTGACGGTCGAATACAAGCGCTACCGCCCAGCCGATATTCTTGCAAACGACAAGCTCTTTCCGGATCAGAAAGCTTATATGCGGCTTGTCCGAGACCGAATCCAAGCGCTTGCTACGATTCTTCAGGATCCTTTTAGTGGTGATGGCGAGGCGGGAAATGCCACCGCCGCAGACGACCAAATCCTTCATACATTTAAAGCACTAGGCTATATCGACCGGGTGGAAGAGGGCCGTTTTGCCCTCCTATTTGAGCTTCCCAAAAACGCTCTCAGAGATCCAGGACCAGTAACTTTAGCTCAGTTCCTGAGCCGGAATGGAAGCATCCAGCTCGAGGAGCGTTTCTTTTTAGCTCATTGCCTAGGGACTACCCTATTTACCCTCCACAGCTCTGGCTGGTTGCATAAAAACCTCAGCAGCTCCCAAGTCGTTCTAGTCCGGAGTTCCAACAAAGAGTACCGCATAGCGCCTTATCTCACCGGCTTTGAATATTCACGCCCAGCAGACGAGAGAACGGACGGGGAAAATGATTATGACGTCCGGAGAAACCTCTACCGGCACCCTCACAGACAAGGGTACCCGCGAGAAGACTTCCGACCAATCCACGACCTTTTCTCGTTCGGCGTACTCCTACTGGAGATTGGGCTGAGGAGGACCATGGTTACCCACTTTGAAAAATACATACAGGAGCTCGAGAAGAACGGAGAATTGGCAGAGTCTGACTGGTTTGGCAAAGAAATGATTAAGCTGGCCGAGAATAAGCTGGCCGAGACGATGGGCCGAAGATATCGGGATGCAGTTTTGGCTTGCTTGAAGAGTAACTTTGGCATCGAGTCTAGGGATATGAGTAGGTCGAGACTGGCGATAGCCTTCAGAGACCAGGTCTTGGTGCCGCTGAAAGCGGGTATGGCGTTGTGAAGGATTGTGTTTGTATAGTGGGTGATATATAGAGATGCGGTTTTAGGCTGCTGTTTTTGGATACAGATGTTAGACAGCTTTTTTTTATGTCGAAGTTATTGATGTCACTTTCCCCCAACGAGGGCTTTTCTTTGGCTACCCCCCCCCCCCCCCCCAAGCAGTAAACCATTCGCATAGATGGACCATAAAGAATACCTCAACCTCGTCCTGTCAGCTAGCTACATTACCATATCCAAAGTAACTCATTCGAGGTGCATCCTATTGAATATCTCGCCGACTAGTTGAAAGAGATGTTGGATGGAAGTATGTACTGTCTAAAGAACATATAAGCCGTCAACAGGCCAATATCGATTCCTGAATAACCGAATCCGCCGGTCCTCAAGCTAGCTCATACATGCAGCTGGAGAGTATTTCGGGAAGTGTTGCCCGCTAATGAATCTATGGCCTAGCTTTTCTCCTTAATCTGTTCATCTCCCTGCTAGTTGGGGGGCGAAAGAAAAAATGCATGTGGTGGAAGAGTGTGCGGGTTTACAAGGAGCGACTGGAATGGGAAAGAGAGAGAGATGGCGATATTTATGGGTGCTAGCGTCATACTGCGGTAGCTTGCTTGCTGTGTTCCCGCACCTTATTCACATAATATCACTCGAACATATAGTGCGGAGTTGGTTAAATAGTGCTAGGGTCTAATCTAATCATAACTGAACTTCACGTCTCCACAGTTCTTGTCTATTTTAAAGAACATGCAGACAGCCCATTCTCGTCTCATCAGAACACAAAGAGAAAAAAAAAAGACAACCATTACAATTCACACCATCCCCGCTCCACGCTAAAAATCTAACCACCGCTCATGATCACCCCATTACTACAATACAATACAAACCCCACCTCAAAACAAAAACAAAAACGAAAGAAAAAAGACCCCCCACAAGTCCCACTCCTCTCCCCTCCCCCCCCCCCCCTCCCCTTTAAAACCCCCTCCTCCTCAAACTCGGCGTCATCGGCCTCTTCACAACCCCCACCGCCGTGCCCGGTCTCCTGACCACGGCACTCGTAGCGGGCCTCTTCAGCCCCCTGGCCGCCATGGCCTCCTCCCTCGCGCGCGCGTTGGCAAGGTCCTCCTCCTGCTGCGCCTTGTCCTCGGCCATCTTGGCCTCGATCTCCATCTTCTTGTTGATCTCGTTCTCGGTGGTGCGGCGCTCGCGCGCAGAGTAGCCCTTCTCCTTGACGCTGTAGAACACGCCGCCCAGCTCCGCGAGCCAGTGCGGGTCCACTGCGGTGACCGTGGACATGTATTCTTTGGAGGTGAGGATGAGTTCGTGGTAGACTGTTGTTGAGTGTTAGTAATGTGTTTTTGTTTGTATAGTTAGGAGGGAAAGGGGGAGGGGGGGGGGGGGGGGAGAAGAACTGACCGACGTAATCCGGCAGATATCCCAACCCATACAACGCACTCGTCGGATGCAACTGCACCGTCACGCTCGTCCTCAGGTTCGTATACTCGCCGATGCCCTTCACCTTCGCCGCCTGGTGGTAGTACCCGCTGCAGATGCACTTGCGGATCAGGTCCCAGTCGGTGCCGCAGCTGCTCAGCTCCATCTTCTGGAACTTCATGATGTCCATCAGCTGGTTGCGAATCTCCTTCGCGCGCCGCAGCGCCTTGGGCTGCAGAAAGTGCTGCACGCACCACCGGTCAGAGTACCCATTGCTCTTCCACTGCGTGTACACATGCAGCAGCGTCAGGTGGTCGCTCTCGGCGACAAAGAAGCGCTCGCGGGCCGCATCACTCTCCTCCTGCCGCTCCTTGGGGCGGTAGAACACGCTCGGCACCGAGAGCATCGACACGATGGTCAGCATCTCCTCGGAGCAGCCATAGTCCACGCTCATGATGATAAGCTTCGACAAGCTGGGCTCCATGGGGAAGTTTGCCATCGTCTTGCCGAGGCTCGTGAGGTCGCCGATATTCGAGAGCGCGCCGAGCGCCCACAGGTCGAACAGCGACGTGGTCATGGTGTCCTGCGGCGGCGGGTCCATAAAGTCAAACTCGAGCAGGTCGCGCACGCCGAGCGACTTGAGCAGCAGCACGGTGTTGCTCAGGTTCGTGCGCTGGATCTCGGGGATCGTCTGCAGGTACATCTCGTTGCGGAACGCCTGCTCCGTGTACAGCCTGTACGCCTTCCCCGGCCCCGTTCTGCCGGCGCGCCCGGAGCGCTGCGACGCGTTCGCCTGCGAGATGGGCGTGATCTGCAGCGCGTCCATGCCCATGCGTGGGTTGTAGACCTTGAGCTTCGAGAAGCCCGCGTCGACAACATACATGATGCCCTCGACGGTCAGCGACGTCTCGGCGATGTTGGTTGCGACAATGACTTTCCGCGCGCCGCCCTCGCCGCGCTCAAAGATCTTGGCCTGCAGGTCCGCCGGCATCTGCGAGTATATCGGCAGGATGTTGAGCTTCGGCGGGTTGTTGAGCTGCTTGAGGCGCTCCGCGATCACGTCGCACGTAATCTCGATATCCTCCTGGCCCGTCATGAAGACGAGGATGTCGCCTGCGCCCTGGCCGACGTGGATCTGCAGCACCTGCTTGACGGCGGCGTCGACGTAGTCTTCGCACGGCGACTTGGACCACAGGACGTCGACGGGGAAGGTTCGGCCGGGGATGATGTACTCGGGGCGCCGCCGTAGAAGCGCGAGAAGCGCTCGGCGTTCATGGTGGCGGAGGTGACAATGAGCTTGAGGTCGCGGCGGCGGGCGAGGATCTTTTTGATCAGCCCCATGAGGACGTCGGTGTTGAGGGCGCGCTCGTGGGCTTCGTCCATGATGATGCAGGAGTACTTGTCGAGGTTGGGGTCGACGAGGGATTCACGGAGGAGGACGCCGTCGGTCATGTCTGTTGGGAGTGGTAGTTAGCATATATCTAGAAGCCAATGATATCAAGATCGTGAAAAAGAAGAAACACCCACACTTGATCACCGTCTCATCACTCGTGCAGTCCTCAAAACGGATCGCATACCCCACCAGTCCCCCCAGCCTGACCTCCATCTCCTCACTGACCCTCTTTGCCACACTCATGGCCGCGACTCTCCTAGGCTGCGTGCACCCAATCATGCCATTCTTTCCATATCCATCCTCATACAGAAACTGCGTCAACTGCGTCGTCTTCCCACTCCCCGTCTCGCCCACCACAACCACAACCTGGTTATCCCTAATCACCCTCAACACCTCCTCCCTCACCGCAAACGCCGGCAGGAACTCCCGCTGCTCCCGCAGCGTCCTGCCCTTTGTCAACTCACTCCCCCCCCCCTCCTGCGGCTTCTGCTTCGCCATGTGCTCCGAGAACTTGTTGCTGCCCCCCCCATCCCCCTCGGCGCTGTCCGCAGCGAGCACAGCAGCAGAGTCCGTATCGTCATCGTCCTTCACCCCCAACACGTTCCCCAGCGCCGTGCCCGCAATATTCGTCGCCTCCTGCGCCTGCTTGGTGCGCTCGCGCTGCATGCGCTTCTCCTTCACCAGCGTGCTGCCCTTGCGACTAAACACGGCCATATCACTCTGCGGGTCCCGCACCGCCGGGATCGGATCCAACTGCTTCGTAAACACCCTCCTGCCGTCCAGAAACGGCGGGCGCAGATCGTGCACCAGCAGATGCACGCGCACCTCCTCCTCATCGTCCAGCTCGTCATCGCCATAGTCCGCGCGCTGCGCCACGCCGCTGGTCAGCATGCGGTTCGTCTCCCACGCGTCCACATCCTTCATCTTCTGCTGCGCGCGCGCGCTCATGCGCTTGCCTTGCTTCTTCTCGAGCAGCGCCTGCTCGCGCTGCTGGTCGGCCCACGTGTTGTCGGCGCTGCCAAACGGGTTGTGTGTCTCGTCGCCAAAGGCGTGGCCCAGCTCGTCGCTGGCATACCAGTCGCGGTCGAGCGCGCTGTCGTCCTCGGCGCTGATGACGCCTGGCCCGGCCTCCTCGTCGGGGTCGCGGTCAAAGGTGGACGGCATGCGAGGTGTGGCGTTGCCGAAGCGGGAGGAGCGCGCGGTGGATGGGCGGGCGTTGGCGTAGCGGGTGGCGTCGCGGAGGGGCGTGGGGTCGTGGCGGCGGAGGTTCTGCGGGGTGTATTTGGAGTCGCGGTAGGCGTAGTCGGTCCGTCTGCTGCCGCCGCCGCCGTCTCGGTCGTCTCTGCTGCCTCTGTCGCGGTCCCGGTCATCATTGCTGGCGCCGAGGCGGCGGGCGCGGTGGGCATTCAGTTTCTCGCGCGCAGCCTGCGAGAGCCCGCCGCCGTGCGAGGGCGTGTCCATCCTCCGCTCCCTGATATGTCTCCCCACCGGCAGCGCCGGCTTCTTAAACTCCACCACCTCCTTCACCTCCTCCTGCTTCTTCTCGCCATCTCTCCCCCCCTCTAGATCCAGCCTAATCCGCTTCGCCAGCCTATCCAAGCCTAACCTACTCTCCTTCTTCCCCCCCGCCGCCGCAGCCTCATCCCTACGCGGGACAAGCAGCCCCCCGGGCATCTCACTGCTGCTGCTGCTGCTGCTGCCATGGGCCAGCTCGTACCGCGCGCGCTGCTTGACCTCGTCGTACACGCCCGCGAGAAAGTCGTCTGTGTACTTTCCGAGCGTCTGCACGGCGGCAATGAACGTCTTGGGCCCGGGCTGGTCGCGCGCGATCTTGATGATGTTGGCGGCGAGGTAGGTGTTTGGTGTGGGGGTGGAGAGGTGGGCTTGGAGCTGCTGGGCGAGGTGGTGGGTGTATTGCTCGCTGAGCCCGGGGGGGAGGTCGGGCGTCATGGTTGTGTGTGTGTTTGGGTGGTGGTTCGGGGGGGGGGGTGAGAAGCTGGAGAGCGGATGGGCAGGGAAGGGGGGTGCCACAGTTCAGCCACAGGAGAGGAGCTGTTTGGTGTTCGATTCTCGCCTCGAGGGATCGGGGATTAAAAGATTGAGGGATTGAGCGCAGTCCTGGCAGTCTCTGCGGTGTGAATAGCAGAACAGCAGTCTTTGGTGAGTGTGGACATCGACAGTCCCTGGCAGCAGAAAGCCACCCACGCTCGGCTGCACACCCAAGCAAGTAGCACTACACACCAGGTACTCACACGCTCTCACTCGGCCTCTTCCAAGCTCAACAGCGCCAGACAGACAGAGATGATGTGGCACGCAACCCCAAGACATGCGCCACAATCACCGTGCTTACACACTGGCAGAGAACAGAGCAAACAAACGCCCATCACTGCCCGCGATATCAGATCTCCGACCATCCTCATCTTCTCCCCTCGCAGTTCGGTCCCTTCCCTCGCTACGTCGCCCCCGTCAGCAATCTACGCGAAACACCGGCTGACGACACCGACCTCTCTACGACACATGCAATATCCCTCCCCCCACAAACACATCCCCCACAACAGGAACAAGTTCTGAGATTCCATTCCATATATAACAACTGTGCCCCTCCCTCTCCTCCCTCTCCCTCTAACCACCCCCCTCCCTCTAACCACCCCCCTCCCTCTACATACACACATACACCCTCTCCCCTCTACATACACAATACAATAGATATATATACCAGAATCCCATCCTCAGACTACAACTACGACTACAACTACCAGAGACAGCACCCACCACCAGGAACCATGGCGTCCCTCAACCCGTTCCGCGACATCAACGTCACCGCCTCCGAAACACACTACACCTTCCGCTCGCCGTCAACGCCCGACGTGCCCGCCCTCGTCGTCGCCCGCCCCTCCGGCGACATCAAGCTGACCGACTCGCCCAAGCCCGGCGGGAAGCGTGTCACCAGCATCGCCGGCATCCTAGGAATCATCAAGCTGCGACTTGGTGAGTCCCCCCCCCCCCCTCCCAAGCCTCTCTGGAGCTCTGTAAAAAAGCTTACAAGGGCGCTTCTAGATAAATACATCATCATCATCACCAAGGCGCAGCTGGTAGGGCGCATCCGCGGACACATGGTCTACAAAGTCCTCGCGACCGAGTTCCTACCCATGCGCGAGCGCCAGCTGCACGATGCGGACGAGGACCTGTATCTCACGCTGCTGCGCACTCACCTGCGCACGGGGCCCATGTACTTTTCGTACACGTTCGACCTCACAAACAGCTTCCAGCGGCAGTCGGCCGCGGACCTGGCGGCGCCGCTGTGGCAGCGGGCGGACGATCGCTTCTTCTGGAACCGGTATATTGCGTCGGACCTCATTGACCTGCGGAGCTCCAACCCTGCTGTAAGAATGGCCGCCCCCGCTTCTCTGTGCTTCTGGTAGCTGATATGGATATATATAGGTCGATCCGTACATCCTGCCTACATTCTTTGGCTTCCTCACGATAGCCACGACCGCCATCAACTCCACGCCCTGCACCTTCATCCTCATCACCCGGCGCTCCCGGCACCGCGCCGGAACCCGCTACTTCACGCGCGGCCTAGACGTCGCCGGCAATGCCGGCAACTTCAACGAAACCGAGCAGATCATCGTCCTCGGTGACTCCGCCGGGGGTCTCGGGGGTCACGGCTTCTCCGCCCAGAACCTCTCCCCCGCCAACACAAAGAGCAGCCTCGACAGCGAGCAGGCGCAAGTCTTCTCGCACGTCCAGACCCGCGGCTCCATCCCCGTCTACTGGTCCGAGCTCAACACGCTCAAGTTCACGCCCACGCTGCAAATAAAGGGCATCGACCACGCGCTCCCCGCCGCGCGAAAGCATCTCAGCGAGCACATCCGCCTCTACGGCGAAACCCACCTCGTCAACCTCATCAACCAGAGCGGGCGCGAGGCGCACATCAAGGCCGCCTACGAGTCCGCCGTCAAGCTGCTCACCCCCGCGCCCAGCGAGCATCAAGAGTCCTCCTTCGTCACCCCCGAGCGCTTCCGCGAGATTGCGCCCACGGGCACAGCCGCCGGCGGGCTCCTCGACAGGCTGTACTACGTCTACTTCGACTTCCACCACGAGTGCCGCAACATGCAGTGGCACCGCGCCCAGCTGCTGCTCGACAAGCTCCCGCTCGGCGAGCACCGCTACTTCCACTCCGTCGGCAGCGGCCACATGGCCTCGGTCAAGTCGTGGCAGACGGGCGTCGTCCGCACAAACTGCATGGACTGCCTCGACCGCACAAACGTCGTCCAGAGCATCATCGCCCGCACAGTCCTCGCCCAGCAGATGATCGATGCCGGCGTCATCCCGCCGGGCACCAACACGGCCGCATACACAAACTTTGAAGCCCTCTTCCGCAACGCCTGGGCCGACAACGCCGACGTCGTCAGCCGCGCATACTCCGGCACCGGCGCACTAAAGACCGACTACACGCGCACAGGCGTGCGCACAAAGGCCGGCGCCATCGCCGACGCTTCAAACTCGGCCACGCGCTACATCCGCAACAACTTTGCCGACGGCCCGCGGCAGGACGCGTTCGACCTCTTTCTCGGCGTGCACCTGCCCTCGCCGTCCACGGGGCCGCTGCGGCTCTCCACCGACCGCAGGCCCGTGCTCGTGCAGGCCGTGCCGTATCTGTTCGCGGCGGCAGCCTTCTTTCTGCTTGCCGCGCTGCTGCTACCGCGGGGTGCGGCGCCGCTGCCGCTGCCGATTGGGGTGTTTGCGCTGTGCTGGCTGGGCGTGGGCGTGTGGGCTGCGGGCTTCTTGGTGCGCTTTGGCGTGCTCTATGTTAAGTGGCCGGTGCTCAATCCGCCGCAGTTCTGTGTGGAGGCGGTGTTGAAGGCGGGGAAGGAGGTGGAGAGGGATGTGGTGGTGGGGAGGTGGGTGGCGGGTGGTGGGGAAGGGGCGCTGAAGGGGCATAGGGTGAGGAAGAGTGTGTTTGGAATTGAGAAGTTGGAGGAGGGGAAGAAGAGGATTGAATAGGAGGTGTTTTTTCTTTCTTTGGGCATGGGGCGTTTGTGTTTTTTGTTTCTTTGTTGGGTGGGAGGTGGGAGGGGGGAGGTGTGGTAATGGATATGGACATGGACATGGACCTGGGTATATTAGATATAGGATAGAAATAAACTTGCCATTTCTTCGCTATCGATCTGCTTTTGTGAATTAGTGTTTTGTGTATCGTTTATTCGGTGCAGTGTGTGTAATCCGAAATATTTGGAAGAATTCCTATGCAGGCTGGCACCCCCGAATCTAGATCTTTCACAGTAAGCATTAAGTTTATAAATGCAATTAACAAGGTGAGCAGTAGCTAATAGAGACGTTTGTACAGTCTGTTATTCGTGGCCGATAAACACCTCGACAGAGGCGTAGGTTGGCTACAGCGTTTATCACCACTGGGGGGGTCTCATAGATTCAACTACCTAACCCCGGCGGGAGAGATCCATATACCCCGCCCCCGCCACTGAACTTGATCCTCCCTAGTACAAGTACCTTAGTCTCACTCTCTTCACTTGGATTAAAGGCGGGATGGGCAACTACAAAGTTTCTATCACGGGTTTGTGAGTCCGAGTGATAGCCTGTGAATAACGGTTTATTGAAGTGATGAAGTCATGAAGTGATGAGGAGCCAACTTGATATTAATTTATGCATTTCTTGATAGACATCGTGTCTTCAATCTAAGACATATTACATTATACGTATACCTACAAGAGGATGGCCAGCTGTCGGCCATGCTAAAGTACATCGTGGTAGATTGACATGGCAGGGTTAGGTTTCCCCACTTAGCTCCCCTTACCCTCGCCCGCCCCCGCCCCCGCCCCCGCCCCGTTAAGTACATGTATTACTTGCGGGCCACGGACAGTTATGTGGGCGAGCGAGCGTAGCCAGGCTCGTCTTGCTACACCTTCTCGAGTGGGTCTGAGTTTCCCCATGGCCATTATGGGTTCAATTTTAGAGTATGTGGGGTGTATGTCATTGTTATATACTGAGAAATGAAGGACAATCATGCCAGAAGCTTGATCTAGATCTCAGGAGGGTCCTTTCGTGAATTGAGCCCCCATGGTCCCGCGAAGGGTACATATATGACGGCCAGAGCATCACCTCTTGTAAAATCTTTATTTTTACCTGGAGGCCAGTGGGGTATGTGGTAGTATCGAGCATCAGATATATCTCTGGCCCGTAATTATAACTGCAGCCTGATTACATACATGTATATCTGAGCTTCTCGCTCGTAATTTCTCTCTCCTCCCATTTATTGAAACTCTTTCAGACCATATTTCATAGTAAGTAGATACTATAAAAGAATATGGTCTGGAAGAGTTCGCTAAACCGGCCTAATCCTACATCCGGCCCTGGAGACCGATTAGCCAAATAATAAGCGATAAGTTAAGACAATCTGCAATTGTAGCTAGAGTTCTAATCGATATCACACATACCCCACCAAGGCCCTCATGCCCCTCCAAAGAAAGCCAAAAACAGACAGTAAATACACAAAAAGTGATGCTGCGACTATACGCCACCCACGGTCTACAGGTTCTAATTCGAGATTGAACACTGCTTCCCGTGAAAGTGTCGTACTTCCCGAGCATCACTCCCACCCCCGGAGTTGAACCCACGACCCCCGGACGTCCCCAGACGGCCATGGCAGTTCAACCCACGCGGTGTAGCACAGGACGAGGCGTCTACCACTAGACTACCTCGCCCACACAATTTTCAAAGGCCGGGAAGTAATACTTAAGGGAGCGAGGGTGAAAAGTGAGCTAGGGGGGCACCTAACCCTGTAATCACAATCTACCACGAACGTATCCACTTGTAGCAGATAGTAGATGGAGATCGCCGTTGAAGGTCCGATTGAAGGAGTTATAGAAACTACCGTAGATAAGGCGACCCTCGCCCCAATAAATTGCGGGTTATATGTATGTAGGGCACTG